TAAGCGCGCTCTAGCTGCGGGCAGTCCGCTTAACCCCCTCGGCGCCGCCGCGGGCTCTCCCCTTTCCTCCGAAGAGGCAGGCGGAGCCTGTGGATCCCGCTGTGGCCGGGTGCGGATTAACCGCTCCTCCCCTGGCATTTCTGCGGGGCGGGGGCAAGGGGACACTTAGGCTTCCGCGGCGGGCCTCGATTCTCGGCGCCGTCCTCCCAGCAGCACACCTGAAGGAGGCTCCGCCCCCTGGGAGCACAGGTGCGGGCAGGCGGTAGTTGCTTGGGTTGCGAAGGGTTCTGCCAGGCTCCCAAACGCTCCGGAGCCCGGCGAGAGCCTCCCGTTTTTCCTAGGCTCTTTCCGATTGCAGGAAGGATGGGGGCGCCCGGCTGTCTGGGGAACACTCACTGCCCCAGGTAACAGCACCTTTGGATGTAATCTGATTTCCAGCGCGTCCCCCATCACACCTCCGCCCAGGGCTTGGTCTGGTGCAGCCGTGGGCTCTAAGACGGTTGGGAGGAGGACACCTCTCTTCCCCTCTTCCTCCCTCCTCCACCCGCACCCCCACGGGTGTTAGGAGGCAGGTACAGGGAAGTAAAAGCCTAGGTCTTGCAAACTGCTTGTGTCGCTTAAAGGAATAGGCAGTCCTGCTAAAACTGCTGACTCTCGTGCGGGAGCTGAAGAGAGTAGTTTGTTTTATGGTACCTTCATTGTCTTATTTTGGGGATGAGGGTTTTTGCAAAGGGCAGCTCCCGTCTACAGAGGAAACTACTGTCTCTAGTGCATGACTGATATTTCTCATTTAGCTTTGTACTAGTTCTTGGATAAGGACATTTGCTTTACTTCCCAAGATTCTATTTATTTGCTTTTGTTCCGATCTGCATGTTCCTACAGCGTTTTAGAATGTTTGAGAACAGCATCTTTAAAGCAAAAATAAAGCAAAAAGCTCAGCGTGAACTAAGAAATTAAGGGAAGGTGCTTCTTGGCCAAAGAAGTCACACAGAGCACCCTCAATTTGGGGGGCCACCTGAGGAGAGAAAGTGAGGGCCAAACATAGATTCTCCAGGGGCCTTCCTGAAAGGGGCATCAGGACTAGAAGGATGGAAACAACCAAGCTCCTTGTTCTTTCTTTCTTTCTCTTTCTTTCTTTCTTTCTTTCTTTCTTTCTTTCTTTCTTTCTTTCTTTCTTTTCTTTCTTTCTTCTTATTTCTTCTTTCTTGTTTCCTTTCTTCTTTCTTTACTTTCTTTCTTT